TCTCTCTCTCTCTCTCTATATATATATATATATATATATATATATATATATATATATATATATATTAAAGATGTTCAAAGTTAGGAATAGTAAATTTGGTTGGTTTTTGTCAACTTTGTCCTCATTCTTTAGTCATTTTGATACTTTTGGTCATTGCAATCAAAAGTTTTACATTTTTTTAGGAACCTTTTAATATTTAAAGTTTGGCCACAAAACTTTAACGGTTTGACAACTTTGGTCCCTTTTCTAAAAACTTGCTAATTCTTACCTCTTTAATTCTTTAGCCATTTTGACACTTTTGGTCCTTGCAGTCAAAAACTTTTATATTTTTTCATAAAAAAAACGGTCAGGGACGAAGCCCGGTTTATTTCACCATTGCACTTTCTACGTCTGTCATTTTCTTCTTTTGCTATAATTTTTCTATATTGGTCATCATATTTAATTTTTTTGGTTTTTCCTACCCTCACCAAAGTCAACTAAAACAGTCAACAAAAGCGTCTATTAATCTATAAACAAAAACGACATTCAAATCAGGCGCACACGACCCATGCAAAGTTTGGCCACAAAACTTTAACAGTTTGACAACTTGGGTTCCTTTTCTAAAAACTTGCTAATTCCTACCCCTTTAATTCTTAAGCCATTTTGACACTTTTCGTCCTTGAAGTCAAAACTTTTAAATTTTTTCATAAAAAACACAAAAAAAAAAAACGGTATGGGACAAAACCCTGGTTTTTCACCCTTGCACTTTCTACGTCTGTCATTTGCTTCTTTTGCTATAATTTTTCTATATTGGTCATCATATTTTTTTTTTTTTTGGTTTTTCCTACCCTCACCAAAGTCAACTAAAACAGTCAACAACAACGTCTATTCATCTATAAGCAAAAACGACATTCAAATAAGACGCACACGGCCAATGCAGAGCATGAGCAACATATCTAGTTGTTATTATTATTATTATTATTATAACAACTATATTTTAATAATTATGTATTTTTTATAAACTATTTAGGCAAGGGCTTTCATTAGCTTTTGTCATCTCTGAGGTGGGGAGTTTAAGTATATTAAAAGGACATTAGTTTTTTTAAGTTTTGGAGTTTTGTCACTATAAATTATTTTGGAGTTTAAGTATATTAAAAGGAACATTAGTTTTTTTTAAGTTTTGGAGTTTTGTCACTATAAATTATTTTGGCAGTTTAGGCCTCTCCTCTGTAAAATAAGTTTTATGGTTTTAGATTTGGTTAGAAAAGTCTTTTATTTTACATTTTGGCCATAAAGTATAGTTTTAAGGTTTTAAATTTTGGCAACAAAAAGTTTGTTATTTTAGACTTTGGCCACAAGGACCTTAAACATTGCCAAAAAACTTTATTATTTCAGAATTTATCCACAAAACTTTTTTATGTCGGCATATTTGGTCCTTACATTTCCTTATGTTCACACTTTCCACCCCTTACTTTGTTGAATGCCACTTTCTACCTTCTTTTTTCGTAAAATGTCAATTTTATCCCCCTTAATTTTGAACACTGACATTTCATCCCTTATCTTTCGTATATTGGCATTTTACAGATTTGACACGTATGGTCTTTATATAGAAAATAAATTATAAAAACAGTCACTGTAATTTATTGAAAATGCCATATATATATATATATATATATATATATATATATATATATATATATATATAGGTTCAAATGTGGATGAACAATTATTGTGTGGTCGTAGGGACCAATAAAAATTTAGAATAAAAATAATCATTAATTAAATTAATAAGGATAATTTGGTAATTTCATTTAAAAAAAAGATAACTTCCACAAATACTCTCCTATAATTATGGTAACTACATTGACTTAACCTAACCTAGCTTTCTCCCTTCTTTAAAAAAGAAACGCCGTTCTTCTTCTTCCTCACACAACATCCGATCCTTCTTCATCTATCTTCATCGTCGGCCACCTTCCAGACCGTAGATGTTGTCGCTGATTCCTTAACCTAATACCAACGACACCTATCTCCTAAACCGCCCTCTGCCAACGTCGCACACCTACAACCCGTCGATTGACTCCGTCCTTCCGCCTACTCCTCCCCTGTTCTAATTAATTTCACAGTTTTCGGAATTGCAATGTCAAGATGTAAATTCGTTTCATAAAGGTAATCTCTCATTCAAATAAATTTCTAATTGCAGGTTTAAGTTTCTTATTTCTTTTTCTGAATTGTCTAATAGCAGAACAATCTTGGTTATTCTTTTTCTATTATTCTATTCTTCCCTTCGTCCACATCTTCACATAATTCCGAGTTTTGTTGTCTTCAATTTTTTCTTAAATGTACCAGTTAAGTTTATTCTTATATGAGTACACCTAATTCTTGTGCATAGCAATTTCTATAGAATTGATGTTTTTATGTTGATTCATTTGTGTGTACATATACACAATGATGTTTCTAACTGTGTTAGAAGGTAATGAATGAATCACATCACTTCTTGAAAATAGAGTGATGTTGTTTTCTAAAAAGGTCATAACCCACATAGCTTTTAGTAATTGTGAAGTTTGAAGCTGTCAACTTTTTCTTAATTCAGCCATAAAACTTAATTTCTAAACCATATGTTTTCTTGTTGGCTATTGCAAGTAGCTAATGTTTTATCATGATTTTATTTCATGTTTTTCACAGGTTTCAAGATTTACCAAGGGATCACATGTCATTCTTGAGTTCATCTCCTTCTACAACGCCCCATATAAAGTTATTCTCATATAATGTCATTCTGCGAGAACGATATTCTGCTAGAATGTCATTAGACAACTAGGAACGAACAAAGAAGGGGAATAAGGATTGTTTCAAGAATGACGATCTTTTTTTTTTGCAAAAGAATTCAAGAATGACATAGTATTATTTCAAAAATGAAGCTTTGTATTTATGCTTGATTGCATACCTGGAGGAAACGAACCAAGAAGGAAAAAAGAATTCATTCAAGAATGTCAAAAAAAAAAATATATATTTTTTTATTCTTTTGATGTAGTTCACTTTCTAATTGTATTTTAAGTTCATTATCACAAAAGTGTTATTACATTCTGAAACAATATCGTTTATATTAACATTTTACCATTGGAATGATATGTTAGTGTTCTCATTCTAAGAGAATGATTCAAAATTCTATATTATTTTTATTGTTGATATTCTCATAGAATATCATTCTAACAGAATGTAATTCTGACATAATAAAATCGGTCATGATTAAAAACTACATTAGAATTGAAACTGAATTAATTTAAAAAAAAAATCAGATTTTTAAAATTAGGAGAATCAATAATCCCTTAAAATCCGAAAATTTTATTTTTTAAATATCGTTTAATTGACTTAAATACCCTTTCAATGAAATTTGAAGGTTTATAAGGTACATGTTACTGCATTGTAATATCATAGACCCTCGCATCATAGCCACTCATTATTTTCATCTATTCGTCCATAATTGTCCTTACGATCACACAATAGATATAATCTACATTATAACCTCTATATATATATATATATATATATATATATATATATATATATATATATATATATATATTATAGGAAAAGTTATGTGTCTAACACTAATATATTGGCAGGTTTCTCTCCGTATATAAATTAAATTATAAAAATTGTCCCTGTAATTTATAGAAAATGTTATTATACATATTTTTAATAGAAACCATCAATTTATTTAAAAATTACAAAAAACGGTCCCTACCTAATACAAAATATACTGATTACGTCCCTTAGCGAATGTAATATTACTCTAGTTAGTGTTTATATTAAATCTAGGGTATTTTACAAACAAAAAGGACGTTTACGTTAGTTGTAAGTGAATGGGGAGACTTATGTTCATATTCTACCCCGTTTGATTTTTTTGCGGGTCTACTTTTCGTGCCCAAAAAACCCACTTCTGGAATATAATCCGACTTTGAACTGCCCACCCTACCATATTTTTTTTCCGTGCCCAAAAAACCCGTTTGATTTCTTCTTATTCATTTTTTTTAAACTTTATTACGTTCACAATACTAACTTTTTTTATTTTTTTATTTTTTTTAAGTTACTCTCATTTTTTAATATTTTTTTTTTGGATTTGGTCTCCATCCTACCTCTTTTACAGCTTTTGCCAAAGTTTTATTTTTTATTACATTAACCCAACTTTTTAGTTTATTTTCTTTTACAAATTTTGTTCCATCCTTCTTTTCCTTTTTATTTATTTTTATTTTTATTTTTTAGTTTTACAGAAAATTTGATTTCTTTTCCTTAATTTTCATTAAATAATTTTGTTTTTTTTAATATATTTTACAACTTATTATTTTTATAAAATATATTTTTCCAATTTATTTTATATTTTTACAACTCTAATCATACTCTAAATTATATATTGTATATTATATAGACAAAATTTCGCAGTATCGCGCACTTGAATTTTCCTATGTAGCAACAAACGGGTATGCATCTCCTAATTTATTACATTTTTATTCAATTTCAATTATCCCATCTTCTACATTTCCTTCCGTATCCCGTAAGACAAAAGAAATAATCATATAATAACAGATATCATGTTCATGTTCATGTTCATCTCATAAAAGTTACAACTTGTTAGACCGGTTCACATGCTTATCATCCCAAAATATCCATTCTAGCCTCTAGGGAAAGAAAAAGAAACCAGGGTAAAATTGTTGTTATCTAATCAGCCAACTTGCTTCCGACACGTGTCATGATCTCGTTCGAAGATACAGCCGACTTGTTCGACTGTTAATCGCTTCACAGGTATATAAACCCTTCCCCCGCCCTCTTTCTATTTCAAGTTTAAACTTGTTCCATTTTGAAATAAATAAACCAGTTTTCTGCTGAGCATTTCTCGTTGCTTCTCCTCCCAAATTTCTCTTGGAAGCTCGCATTTTCATATCTGGAGTGCACTTCTTCTGAGCTGATCGGTTGAGAATCGAAAGCGGAGGGCTTCGTTGTAATCGAAGAGATTAATTCGAGAAGCGACAGCGGAATCAGGTATTCTTCATTTTGACAGAAAGGTGAGTTGTTATGTTGACAATTACGATTTCATTAGAGCTTAAATTATTTTCTAGATCTTGTAATGGTTTTCTGTGGAACTCATTTGGCTCGTAGTGCTTGATGATTTAATTTAGGTTTGTTTATGTGTGTTTTTGTGCAAAACGTTTAGGATAATTATTGTGCATTTGAAGTTTTGAACTTTCTTCCCCTTTTTAAGCTGGATTGTCTTCGTTGTTATTATTATTATTATTATTATTATTATTATTATTATTATCCTCCAGAACTATGTGACGCTATCGACCCTCTGTGCCAATTTTTTGTGTTTCTTTTTATTTCCAAAAAAGGAAAAAATCAGAAGGAAAAGACAGGATTATTATTATTGTTTTTTTCCCTGTTTACGTTTTGTTTTTTTGGTTATCCTTTTTGTGGACGCAACCATGAAGATATTGACAATTCCTGCTACTGAATATTTATTTAATAAAAAATCATGTTCCAAAATCTTTCAAATTAGTTTTCAAAAGTTAAAAAAAAAAGTTAAAATTTTATTTTATGTTTAGTCATATATTATAGTATAAAGTTCCCTTATATAATTTATCAATTTTAAGTGTAAGTCATATTTTTCTAAAAATAACATTAATTGACATTACTATTTTAAATAAATGAAAATTAATAATTTATTATGTGACCACGTTGGTTTTAAATCTTAGATATTTTATTGTTTTTATTATTTCCACAAATAAAAAAAACTATACAAAAATTTATTCAAATATAATAATTAATCATTGTAAAAACTTTATATTTCACAAAAAGGACAGGTAAGCAATAATTATGGTAAGTTTTTAGGGTGGTTAAAAGTTAAAGCTAGTTAACATATTTTCGTCTTATTTTAATCTAAAGCGTTAAAGAGATGGTAAGCACTTGATTATAATATTTTTTTTGTTTGGTTGTTTCTCACTTTCCCTTTCTTCTCAGCATTAATTATTTTTTTAATGGTCGTTGTTCATTATATCTGTAGTTTCTCATCAGACACCGTTTGTAAAGATGACAATTACACCAAAGATCTCCATTGATGGTGCAAACCTTGTAGTCCATGGGAAAACCGTACTTAAAAACGTACCAGAAAACATCGTGCTGACCCCAGGAACAGGGTCAGGACTTGTAACAGGTGCATTCATTGGTGCAACATCTTCAAATACCAAAAGTCTCCATGTGTTTCCTGTTGGAGTCCTAGAGTAAGTTCCAGATTCTGTTCATCATTTAATCATCATGCATTTCCAAGATTTCAATCTTAAACAATTTTGTTTGATTTGTATCAGGGATCTTCGGTTTATGTGTTGTTTCCGTTTCAAGCTATGGTGGATGACTCAGCGAATGGGAACATGTGGAAAAGATATTCCTCTAGAGACTCAATTTATGCTTGTTGAAAGCAAAGACAACAATGACAATAGTCCCACAATCTATACCGTATTCCTTCCTCTTTTGGAAGGCCAGTTCAGAGCTGTTCTTCAAGGGAATGATAAGAATGAACTAGAGATTTGCCTCGAGAGTGGTTAGTACATTAACTGTGTGCATGAAGAATATAATAATCCTTTTAAAGAAACTAATTTTTGTTTTGTTCTTTTTACTCAGGGGATCATGCAGTTGAAACCAATCAAGGGCTCAGCCTTGTCTACATGAATGCTGGAACAAACCCTTTTGAGGTCATCACACAGGCTTTAAAGTAAGTGGACTTGCCAACTTGTTTTTCTAATCTATTGTTGTTACTATATTACTATGGTCTTTGTAACTTAAAAAGGCCTATGGTTTAACTTCGAATTCAAATCTGATTGTGGAACAGGGCTGTTGAGAACCATATGCAAACATTTCATCATCGGGAGAAGAAAAAGGTAAGAAACCTCCCTAGAATGTCATAAGAATCACATCTTATTTACTCATTTGTCTGACTTTTGTTGGTTGATATAAATCTATAACAGTTACCCGAATTTATCGACTGGTTTGGTTGGTGCACATGGGATGCTTTCTACACCGATGTCACTGCAGAGGGTGTTGAAGAAGGCCTCAAAAGGTAATTTAAAAAACTAACTTCAATCCGAAATACTGATACCATTTCTAGAAACAGAATGTTGGGAAAATGGTCTCAAAGATTCACCAAAACGCAATGAAGTTTTCTTGGTTACTATTGCAGTTTATCATCAGGAGGGACTCCACCCCGCTTCCTCATCATAGACGATGGTTGGCAGCAAATTGGTAACGAAAACAAGGACCCCAACATCGTTGTCCAAGAAGGAGCACAGTAAGGAATATCTTTACGTTATTACTATAATAACTCTTCTTTCTTTTGTTAATTCTACTAAATTTTTTTCAATCAATTTCGCAGGTTTGCAAACAGACTAACAGGAATCAAAGAGAACGAGAAATTTCAAAAGAAGAAAGACGATCACCCCCCAGGCTTAAAGCACGTGGTAGACGAAGCAAAAGAACATCATAATGTTAAATACGTATACGTCTGGCATGCTTTAGCAGGCTACTGGGGTGGTGTAAATCCAACCGTAGCCGGAATGGAACATTACGACCCAACTCTGGCATACCCGATTCAATCCCCGGGTGTAAAAGGAAACCAACCAGACATTGTCATGGACAGCCTTGCTGTCCATGGCTTGGGTCTAGTTCACCCTAGAAAAGTTTTCAACTTCTATAATGAGCTTCACGCTTACCTTGCTTCATGTGGAGTTGATGGAGTTAAAGTTGATGTTCAAAATATAATTGAAACACTCGGGGCTGGATATGGTGGGAGAGTTTCCATTACTAGAAGTTATGTTCAGGCTCTTGAAGCTTCGATTGCAAAGAATTTTGAAGATAATGGATGTATTGCGTGTATGTGTCATAATACCGATGGGCTTTATAGTGCTAAACAAACCGCAATTATCAGAGCCTCGGATGATTTCTACCCTCATGACCCTGCGTCTCACACCATTCATATTTCTTCTGTCGCGTATAATACATTGTTTCTTGGCGAATTTATGCAGCCTGATTGGGACATGTTCCATGTAAGCATTAACATACTGACTCATGATAAGTTAGAAAACGTGGTAAAAGGGAAATTTGTATCTAATTATGAATATGAAACTTTCAGAGTCTTCATCCGGCTGCTGATTATCATGCTGCTGCTCGATCTATTGGTGGATGTGCCATCTATGTTAGGTATTTGTTTATGTTTCTATTTTTGTTGATCTTATTTCATGAAAATGGAAAATCTGTAAACTAATTGAAATTAATTTTATTAGTGACAAGCCTGGCAACCACAACTTTGATCTGTTAAGGAAATTGGTTCTCCCGGATGGATCAGTGCTTCGTGCTCAACTGCCTGGAAGACCCACACTTGACTGTCTTTTTGCTGATCCGGCTAGAGATGGAATAAGGTCTTCCTTGTTTATTACAAACATTTAATTATCATTTTTTCCTTTTTAATTTTTTTTTGAAAAATCTACACTGTTATAGCGATCGCATCCATATAAAAAGGTGATACTGTGATAATTGAGTAGAATTTTAAAGTACAATGTCTTAATAAGAAAAAACAAAATTTATGCAGCCTGCTTAAGATTTGGAATGTGAATAAGTGCACGGGCGTGGTGGGTGTATTCAACTGCCAGGGTGCCGGTTGGTGTAAAATCGAGAAGAAAACTCGAATCCATGATGCATCTCCCGGCATTCTTACGGGTTCTGTGCAATCCGCTGATGTGGATGCCCTAACTCAAGTAGCAGGTCCGGATTGGCATGGGGAAACCATCGTGTATTGTCAAAGATCAGGTGCCTCACCCTTTCAAACTTTGTATATCACCAAGAATATGACATAACAGGTACTGTGTCTCTGAGGCACTGACACTGACACTGATATTTGTATTGCAGGGGAGGTAATTCGGTTACCAAAAGGCGTCTCGTTGCCTGTAACACTCAAGGTTCTTGAATACGAACTATTTCATTTCTGCCCTCTAGAGGTTAGCCTCTTTTAATTTAACTTTAACCCAAGGACCTCATTATATGAAAAGAACAAAAGAAAACAAACTAATCTTGTTAAATTTATTTTAACAGGAAATATCAGAGAACATTTCAGTAGCACCTATCGGATTGCTCGATATGTTCAATAGCAGTGGTGCAGTTGACGAATTTGAAGTCCATTTAGCTTCAGAATCTCGAGTGTTTAGCGACAGTTCCACTCCTTTAAGTGAAACGCGACCAGTGACTGCCACGGTGTCGCTTAAAGTGCGAGGATGTGGCCGATTCGGAGCCTACTCATCTCAACTGCCTCTCAGGTGCAGTGTGGATGGGTTGAACACGGAGTTCAGTTATGACCATGAAACTGGATTATTAACATTTGTGATTCCTGTGCCTCAAGAGGAGATGTATAAGTGGTGTATCCAGATTGAAGTTTAGTGACCATTTATATTGTTATGATGGGTGACATTGTTGTAATAAAGGAGTTATTAGTTGAATACCGATGAAGGTTTCTGTTATATATTATTAATAATAATGTTATTCTTCAAGTGGTATATTCGATTTTTTTTTTCAGAATCCAATTAAACTCTACTCTTAAGTGTTTTTTTTTTTTTTTTTTTTTTCGAAGCCGAATTCTTAAAAAGTAAGTTCATCTAAATTTTATTTTATTGTATTGTCCTTGTTTGGGTTTATGTATTGATTTTGGATCCCTTTACTAATAACTTTGTAATGAGGTGAAGTTCTTAACTATACACAAGGTGTTTGATGAAAGTCCCCAAAGAAGTCACGTTGTTATTGAGGTTCAAGAACTTTAGGTTGTTGCAATTTATGCAGCTGTGTTGGTTTTTTTATTTATCGCATAGAAGATATGGTTCTTCAAGTGGCTTTATGGGAAAAATAGTTTGTCTATGGTGAATCGAGATACAAGCATTATTGAAATAACAAAGGGCAATTGTATAAATCGTAAGTTAAAGTGTGAAAATTTACAAAGGGAAATTACATAAACCATAAGTTAAAGTGTGAAAATTTACCAGTGGAAGAATAATATTTTTCTCAGCTAATTTATTATTTTGTCATTATCTGAAATTCCACAGACATTATTTTTATGACTGACATTATATTCCATAACATCAAATCTAATAGCCAACATTTTCTAAACCAAAACGTTTAATTCATCGGGAAACAAATACAATTTCAGAGGTTGTTTGGGATTTATCTCAAAACAATTTAGGATAAGGGGTATGGTCACCATCAACTCACTAGAAAAGTGTTGCAACCCATACCCCACGTTATTTTCACTACATGTTCATTACCAAACCACTAACCTTTGAAAATGGTTACTACTAGGGATGAAAGTGGGTCCAAACCCGGACCGGATGGACCCGGACCCGGAAAACCCGGAACCGGTTAACGGGATTTTTTAGAACCGGAAACCGGACCGGTATATAGGAACCGGTTCCGGTTCGGTTCCGGGTACGGTTCCGGTTCGGTTCCGGGTACGGTACCGGGTAAAGTGGGTCTAGAACCGGAAAACTCGGAAACATCAAAGTGGGTAGGTTGAAACCGGATAAAGTGGGTTTAGAACCGGAAAACCCGGAAAAACCGGAATTTTTTGGTAATTACTTACTACTTCGTGGGTTGAACTTTGAACATTTTCATATTGATATCACGACTTTGGGGGACTGTAACTCATTGAATATGAAACCAAAATTAACAAAATTATAGTCTAAAATCATGTACAAACTCTAAAATACACTCTGGAAAAAACCGCATGTCAATTCGACTTTAAACAAATGAGATATGCATGTGTTAACATTTTCACAGAATACAAAGTACAAAAACAAATAGCTGAAAAGTTAAAAAATTTCAGTTTTGATATCCCGACTTCGTAGGACTATAAATCATTGAATATTAAACCAAAAATGACAAAATTATAGTATAAACTCATTTACAAAATGTAAACTACAAGTTGGAAAAAACCACATGTCAATCGGACTTCAAACGAATTAGATATGCATGTTTTAAAACTTTCACCGAATACAAAAAAACTGAAAAACTAAAAACTTCCAGTTTTGATATCTCGAATTTGAGGGACTGTAAATCGATGAATATAAAACTAAAAATGGCAAATTTATAGTCTAAAATCATGTACAAACTCTAAACTACATGTTGGAAAAAACCTCATATCAATCGGAGTTGAAACGAATGAGATATGCATGTTTTAAATGTTTCACAAAAACCGGTTCCGGCCCTAAAAGTGGTTCCGGTTCCTAACATCGGTTCCGGTTTTTAGACCCGGTTTACCCGGACCCGATGGATCCAAACCCGGATTACCCGGAACCCGGATAAAGACAATTTTTAAACCCGGAACCGGAACCGGTTCTATATATTCCGGTTCTAACGGTTCCGGTTCCGGTCCGGTTTTCCGGTTCTAAATCTCATCCCTAGTTACTACCACATATTATTTATCTTTTTATTTATTTATTTATTTTTACATCAGATTAAATAAAAAAACATAATTTTTAGTATCAATCGATTTCACTAGAGTTGGTGCGGAATCCCAATCCAGTGAATAACACAAATCGGAATATGGAGGAAGAACACAAACGCGAATCTTCAATGCACACTATTATTAAACAATAGTCTGGTACATAAGATTCACATAATGCTCTCAGTTCTCTCTCTGTCTATCTAATACACGAAATATGCTCCTTAGAATCACTAACCAGCGTGTCTTTTTTCTAACTCCATACACGGTTGACTCAATACAATATATATACTAAGACCTAAATACAAAAGCCTAACCCAATAACCTAAACCGAAATCATCTAAGCCCACCGAAATCACATGGTGATTTCGGTCCAAGTACCACCGAGATCATTGAGATTTCGGTCCTAAACCGAAAACTATAAAAGCCTAGAAAAGCAAAGTATAAACCACAAATTTATGTCCTAACAATCTCCCCCTTGGTTTATAGCTTTCTTTTCTT